TCAAGGATGTTTCTGGAACAAAAAACCATGAATCATTGGATTAATAACATTGTAATACTTGAAGCGTGATGTTATTACAGGCCAGGTAGCATTTGGGTTGTAGCTTTCTATTTGTTTCTCTGCATCAACTAAATTGGTGATCTGTCATTATTGTGTTAGTGGATATCCCTTTACAGTATCAGTTACAAGTGTTAGAACTTACGTTGACAGTCTCTATACACTAGAATATTAAGCCAGTTTAAAGAAGATATTAGAAACTTTGATTTCTTTTCTGATACTAATTTTCATTCTTTTCAATACAGGACATCTTATGCTAAAGCTATGTATGAGTAGTAATATTTTGTTTCTTTAAATTTCTCTATAATTTAATTAATGGAGTCAAATGAGCACTGAGACTAACATTGCCTCTGCTCCTTTGAAACAATTACCAGATTCTTCTTTCAGAACAGGGATCAGGGAATGTGTTGGTAGTGTGGGCAAACCATAGAACTATGTTTGCTTTATGGATAGAAGACATCAGTTTTCACTGAAGTCTGTCTTTCATCTTCCTTGAACATATCTGAAAGGGAGTGAAAAACAAAGAAGCAATACACTTTTATCTCTCACTTTCTTAGTCAGATATATTCACACACACACACACACACACACACACACCTTTGCTTACCTCTGTACACCCTTGCATGCTCATACCCTGGCCTCACTTTTGTACACATCTATATCTTTGTACACACATGTGCCCTTTTATGTACATACACCTAAATACATATGTACCCTAGTACACACCTACCACTTATTTTTTAAAACACCCTGGGCATTGTCTTGTATTAATATAAACCGACAGTATGAGGTAAAAATGCTTGCATTCCAATGAGAGACTGTCACTTTTATGGCTTTTATTTCTAGCATGATACAGTTCAGGGCTGAATTCAGGGTTAATGGTGAATTTTTTCAAAGAGGTGAGGATTTGAAACCAGGAAACTATGTCTCAGTATTAAACCCCTAAAAGGGCAGTTCTAACTTAGTATCTTCAGGGACTTCCTTTTCAGAATTTATGTGTGTAAAACTATTAATGAAAGCTTTGACTTGAAACTTTTGTTACCCAATTGAAGATGCTTCTAATTTTTTCTAAAGAATTTTAAAGTTCTTAGTTGGGTAAAAGAAGAATTTGGATATAAAGTTCACTCTAAGCAAAAAAACAAAAAAACAGAAAACAACTGTAACAAAGGGGAAGAGTTTGTTTTTACCTGCATCAAACATACCTTATTCTTTCAAATTACTGTATCTTTTCAAATACTCTTTGGGCTTAAAATTCCTGTTTAGCTGTTCTCCAGTTGTTTTAGTTATATGAGGCTCAGCTCAAATGCCCTTGCTTTGAAGGATGAAAGTGCAATCTTTTCCCCTCACCCACGTGCTCTACGCCCTGGTGCAATATTATGAGGAAGCACACATTTGTATCAAAATAAATAATTGGACTGTGGGACAAATCATTTGATTTGAATCTTGTTGCCCATGTTAGCTTGATATCTATTGAACTCTTAGTACATGCCAGAAAGTGTCCTCGATACTTTCACTTTATTGATTCATTTAGGGCATTTATCGTTTATTTTGGGTCCCAGATTCTACTACAAATCTGATAAAATATGTGGATAAACTTTTCAGAATAACATGCATTTGAGTATACGTGTGAAATTTTACAACTGATTTTAGGGGACCCTAAACTAAAGTGACCTAAATCAGACCTCTGACAGTTGCTGAAGAGATTTTCCAAAGCTTTGAAAGATGATAGATTTACAAATTCAACCATAAAGTAAGTGATCCAGGTATCTTTCTGGTTGAGAGAGCTTATTTTCTTTGCCTCTTTACTTCTTATCACTTTTAACACTTGACAGGGATGATTTGCTCTAAAGTATCAAAATCTTTATGACTTTATGAGAATTATGATGTCCAAAATGAGTAGAGATTTTTTTTTTAAAAAGTTCTCTTTGAGACGTAGATACAGGTAGTCTCTTAAACCCACTTACTATCTAAGGAAGCCAGTTCCTTTTCACACAGCGATCTCACAGAGAATACACTCCAAATTTCAGCTCCTGTCATATTACACATTACTTATGTCATGTACCTTTAAGGTTGCTTTAGTCCAAATCATAAGTATAAGATTTGCAAATGCCTTCAATCTACTTGCATTGGTATCCTAAATGGGAATTTACCTCTCCCAGGAAGAAAAAGATAGATATACCTTATAATTTATATGGCATCATCTGACCATAAAAGAGTGTTCTAATAATCCAGCACAGTGTCTTATATTGAGTATTAAAGAACTTTATAAATAAGGATTAACTCTTATTATATATATGAAAAATATCAATTTTATATGTGGTAAAATCAATTCATAAAAATAGGGAAATAGTTTTACTTAGGGTAGTATATTTCCTGGGTTCAGTTTCAGTGCCATGACTTTTCTTTCAAGTCTTTCTTCACTCTTGCTTGCCCTCATTGCATAGAAGTCAAATACTAACTCCATTCAGCTTGATCATTTCCCTCTTCTGCCCCTAAAGCCTTTCTTGTGCCTCATCACTCATAGGACAAAGTCCAAACCCAGTTGTTTGAGCCTTCTACCATATGACCTCATCATGCCCTCCAATGTTGTAGTACACTGTTTGGTTCAGTACTCTTTCTGTTTCTTTTAAATGGAGTTGTTCACCATTATTTGAAGTCACTGTCATTTTTCAAAATTCTCTTTATGATACCTGAGTCTGGGAGGGGAGGTGTCAAAGCAGTTGGCCTGTGGTCTTTTTCTCTCCTGTATATGAGGGAAATATTCCTGGGGAAAGAAAGAAGACAGGTGGCCTGGTCTATTACGAGGAGAATCCTTATCTTTGGAATATTTTGAGCAGGATAACTGCTTTGGCATTGCTTATGTCAGCAAACTTATAACTACAGATATGTAAAGCACGTTCCTCTGAAAAATATCACATGAACAGTACAACTCTCTGGCCCATAAAATGAAACTATTTTATGCCCATCATGCTCACCAATGTGTGAGGTAACCAATATGCCTCACTTGAAGGCATCATCTCTTCTGGAGCAGAGAATGCTCTCCATTGGGAGGAAAGGACCTGGGAAGACATGACTGGGCTGTTCTAGACCTCTCCCTGCTTGGCCTTGCCTCCTGATTGCTTGTACCCAATTTTCGTTTGCAGTCCTACTCTTATTTCAATTCCTGGTTGAGAAATCCCACTGAAACCTTCTTAACCTATTCTAGCCTGTACGGATCCTTCATTTTTCCAAACTTATTTTAGACTTTATTGTGTATATGAATTGCCTATAGGGTTTTTCAGATTGTTGACTTACTTTATTCTTGCTGAACTTTCTGAAAAGTTGCTTAACTTTTTGATATTTATGCTTTTCACTCCCCAGGTAGCCTCTAAGCTTAAGAATGGGGACCATTTTCATGGCTATAGTTGGCAAAGATCCTTATGCAGTGTAAGCCCTCAAATACTGTTAATTTGCTTTGGAGTAGAGAAACGAAGATAAAAAACATAGCATTTGAGTAATTGGGGTCATTCTTTTATACTGTTTCTATGTTTGCATCATGCTGATGTTTGAGGGAAAAAAATCTAATGAAAAGATGAAACTGTTCTGAGAAAGATATTTTAAGTTTTTATCAGGCATTATTTATTGTACCTACCATATTATTATAAATGTACTCTGAATCATAGCAATATTGTTTGTTTGTCTTCTAGAGGGGCAATTAAGGCACATAAAAACTGGAGAACCATTTGTTTTTAACTACCGGGAAGACTTGCACAGATGGAACCAGAAAAGATACGAAGCTCTAGGAGAGGTATGGTCATATATGCAACTTCAACCTTGTTTTTTTCCCAATTTTAAATAGTCAGAATAAAGGCTTTGAAGCTGAAGCAGTAAATGCACTCTGTATAAAAGGAAGTAGAAAAGGTTTTTGCATTTTTGTCAGATTATTTTTAATGGTAATGTTAGAAACATATTCTCAGTTTAAAAGGTTATGTTTTTACACAGATATATCCTTGCCATGACCTTAATATTTTGGTGAGTCATTGTAAGGAAAACAAATTCATGCTAAATTTTAATTTTTTTTTTACATGTTTTTAAGAGGTTCACTCCTCTGTTGTGCCAGGAAGAATGAACGTTCTTTTACGTGCTTTTCTAAAGCAAAAAACATAAAGAATTAACCTATGTTAACTATGTGAAGTGAAGGATGCGTTAGTTATTCTGATCCTGACAATCATTCTACAATGTATATATATGACAAATCTTCTCATTGTGTATTTTAAATACATACAATTACATTTGTCAATTATTCCTCAATAAAGGTTAAACGAAGTGCTTATCTATATAAGAAGATCGGTATTTGGTTAATAAATTGGATCTAACCTACTTACCTTTGACTTGATAAAGGATTAGACCTTGTGAAACATTAGACACCTCACATGCTACCACTGGTCGGAAACTTTAAAAACATCATTTGTCATTTAGGTGAATGTTTTATTACAGCTAAAGTTTTACTCATTCATATCTTACTAAGAATTTTTAATAAAAACGCATATGGACACATTTGTTTAGTGCAGTAACTAGACAACTATTTTACTTCTCTAAGGAAAAGCTGAAGTTTCTATATTTTTTTTGTTCTTTAATAAAGTAGTAAAAATGAATTATTTGGTTAAGCAGTAGCATAAAGAATATATGAAACTTAGTTTATGTTTTCTGGGAGACAGTTTCCATGCATCTCTTGATTTCTGCATGTCTCTGAGCAAAGATATTGACAGTTTTTGTTTGGGACCATCTATTCAATGATATTTGTATGGGAAATAGCCTTAGAAGATAGAGATTTTGTCTTCCTCTAACTCAAAGGGCACATTTGTTTGTTGACCAAGCTATTAAAGATAACTCACCTCCTTTACCCCACTAGTGGCAAAGGATGACCAGGTTTGCTTGCAACCCCCTTATAAGATTGGGCCTTGTAAGTTTGAGGTTCCACAGCTGTGAAACAGTGCCACTGTGTGCCCAGCCTCTACCCTTGGTCTATCCACAGTGCCTCTTTGGGACTTGAGGGGCAAGGGGAACAGATGAAAACATGAAGCTCATGCTGCGTGCTGTCCTCTGAGTAATAGAGTTCTTTGTCTCTTGCCCAGGAGTGTAGTGTCTTCTGGCCACATCCATGAAACTGTAGCAGGCTAACTTGTCACCTTGCAAGCAGGGTGAAATCACAGGCTCTTCACAATTCTTGATGTTGTTCTCCAGCATTAATAACTTAAGTATATTTAACATTCCTGAATGATTTCTGCTGTACATTAAGACAATTGTTTCCCTGCTTACATATGAGTTAATTATATGCTGCAAACTGGTAATATTTTGATTATGGGATATCCGTACTGTATGGCCTTAAAAAAGGACTGGGATTGATTGACTGACTGAATTTATTTATTTATTTAAAATGGGGACTACATTTTACTCTTTTCTGTAAGCCATGAATGTTTGTTTACTTGGACAGGTGCTGTCCCCTAAACATACCTTGTCCTTTTCGGCATCTGTATCTTTTTCACTCTCAACCTCTATCCTCCAACATCACCTATTGCCTCCTGATTGCTTGTACCCAATTTTCATTTGGATAATCCCATGTGTAAGTGATCCCTTTCACCTGGAATGGCCTATCTAATTCTTTGGATATTCGGAGGGTCACAGATTTATTTTTGGTGAACCTTACTCCATGATAATCAAAATATTTTGAATTTTCACTTCAATGATTATATGTGTGTATATATATATATATATATTTTATATATATATATATATTATATATATATATATTTAGAGACAGAGAGAAAATATTCTGCATTTTCTAGATTACCACCTCCTGTGCTTCCATTCACATTTGTGTTCATGATCAAGTTGGCCTCAGGTGATCCCAAAGTCTCCAAATCACAGAATTTAACTTTGAATGCAGTTTTTCTCAAATTTAGATTAGTGAACCTCTCAGCTTTCAAGTACCAATCCCTTTTATTTTCCAGTATACTAATCAAAAGTAAACATAACTTTCTGGCATAAACTCAGCCAGACAAAAAACCAGAGTTGGAGAGGAAAAGTCTGGTTGTTATGGCATTTGTTCTGTACCGTCTTGCTTCTTATGTCTTATTTGGAATACTTGTTTTCATTGTTAATTTCAGTGTTGAAGGTAGGTTATTAATTGAATTTCATTTTCTATATCTTAGGAGTGAGTTGTGTGAATTCTAGTTACATATCAATAGTAACATAAGTTTCATAGTGATTTTGCTTAGGGTTAATGATAGTGGAATTCAACACACATGTGGGACTGTCTTTTTGTCCATACTCCTTAATGTTTATTTCCGAGCTCTGCCATGAGTTTGATTTAATCAGCCAACTGTTCTTCATTCATACATTGTACTTTTATCTCACACTGTTTTCTCTCTTTGAAATGCCCTTTCTCCTTTGTTCACTACATTCCACCTCCACTTTTCTTCAGGTTTTGGCTCAGATGTCTCTTTTAGGAAGCCTTCCCTCATGTCCTCTGCTACAGTCTTTCTTTCTTCTCAATTTCCTTACTTCCCATCCTCTTTTTCTTCCTACCTTGTCTTACTATAAAAATGATTTAAGTTGACTTTAAAGTTGAATGCCTTTTAACAAGATTAAAAAGTAATTTACAAATAAATAATAGAATTTTTAAGAAGAAAATACTGTTAGTAAAGGCATGAGTTTCTTTTATATCTCTGATGGTACTTCACTATGTGTTACATTTTTTTATGCCTTTCTTTAAGCAATTTGGAGAAACTTTCTGTGTCATGATGTCTGTTGAATAATAGATGTGTATAATACAAATATATAAACTGTGGGTATAAATTCCAGATCTGTGCATTTTAAAGAATTTCTTAATGTTAGAATTTAAATGTAGACACATTTTCTTATTGGAAGAAAGGGAAATGATACATAGATGATACATTTCCTGTTTATTGAGCTAAGCAATTTTTAACTTTTATTCTCATTCTTATTTAAGTTCCAGCAGTTTGACTATTAAAAGCTTTGCTTATGAAAATTATTTGATAAAAATAGACTATATTTGTGGCAGATTCTGTTGAAAAATTTTTAACACTCATAGTCAAACTCTAGACTTACATCACCGTAATTCCAAAAATCTAAGTTCTCGTATAACTGTCTACAGTTCCTAGAAAACAAATAAACCTTTATATTTAAATGCTAGAAATAGTTTAGTACTTCATATTACCAATAAGATCCCCAGTTCCATTAAGCAAGAACCTGTATAAAGCCTCTCACCACAATGTCCTGGATGTTGAAGCTCTGAAAAAACTCCTTTCTTCTCAGTGATGGATAGGATGTAATTCAGCAATTTCAGTTTATTGCCTGGGAGGGACTCTGCTTTAATAAACAGCTTTTGATATGCTTAAGATTGAAGTTCTAAGGAAACAGATTTTGACTTCAGCCAACAATCTAAACCAAAACCCCTTATGTTTTTTTTAGTGTTTTCCTACTGAATATTGAGTTTTGTCTTCAGCTGAGAGGTACTATATATGTTTCACAACTGCCGTTTTAGTTTATGTTTATTTCTCTCTTAAGGAGATTATTATAGCAGTCATTCAGCAGAAATTGTTTTTAAGACTTGCTCCTGAAATGCTCTATCATTTCTATGTAAATTAAACTTATTGTGTAAGTAAAATAAACTGAGATGTCAGTTTCTTTTTAGAATGCATTGCTATAACTATGCAAAAGAATACTCTTTACATTCACATAGTTACATTTTTATAGTCAAACAAATGCTTTTGCTAATATGTATATTTTTTTACTATCTACATATAGCTTGATAAAAACATATAGCCTTTAATAAGTTTGCGTAATTTCTCTAAATTTAGAAAGATTCTTTCAGTGTAAGGAAGTGAGAGAGTGGTGTGAAAGGGTAATTTTCAAAATAGAAGTCTTTGGTGTATATATCTTGGAGCTGAACACCAGGGAATAATGTTTCTGGTAGACTCAATTAGAAAGACTAGAAGGGCTATGATGTTAAGTAGTAAATAAAATGGTAAATTGTCAACTATCTCTTTCATGTCAATACCGAATTATTATTAAATGGAAAAATACTAATCCAGCAGAGATATTAATGAAGGAGAGATTTGACTTTCTTGCCTGATATAAGTCTTTGCATTTCCTTTGATATTCATCTTGTTTACTTCTTTAAAAATTAATAAATTGCCAGTGTGCTTAATTAGAGGATAACAATGATTAGGCAGTCTTATAAGCTTGGCTTTTTATTCTTGGATAGGATTACAATTACAAAAACAACTAATGGCATATTTTTCCCCCTAGACCTAAATTAGTAATATGTCTTGTAAACTAGTGGAAAACTACTGAAAAATGTTATATTTTTAATAATGAAATTGATTAAAGAATGTGGGCCAGCAGTGTCTTATGGAATGTTTTTTATGGCTATATTCAGGTGTTTGAAATAGGAGCAATTTAAAATAAGGAATAATAATATAACTTTTTATTTTAATATTCAAATATTTGAATATAATATGATTTTCTCTGTATAACTAATACCTTCATATAATGTAGAATTCTCACCTCTACTATTGTGACAGAAACAAATGTCTGGTTATCAGGAGATCTGGGTCCTAGGTCTGGCATAGCAGTATCTGTGTAATTTTAGAAAAATAATATTTCTGAGCCTCCACTATAAAATAGGAATAAAATTGTCTGTGCAGTTGTGAGGAATAAGTAAGATGCATAAATGTGATACCATTTTATATTCTTTACTATGCTGTGCAGATGTTAGGAGTG